TGTATAAGAAATTATAGAGGAAAGGATATAATACAACAAAAGCAACAATACCGAATAAGCAGTGGCGTACTAATATAAAGCAAACGTGCAGTTATGCAAATAAAACAAAAGCTGTTAAATAAACCAAGGCGTATCTATACCGATTGGTGCACACTCTTGATAAGTATAAATATATATTATAAATTTAAGTTATTACTAGATATTATATCTTGTATCGTACAACCTCTAATACTTTTGCTTCTTGATGAATTATGCCAAAAAAATAGGAACAGCCTTACTTGATTATCCTTTGTCTATTTTACCACAACCAATTCTTTATCTGGTTACAGCCACTATAAGCAGGTTCTACCGGAATTCGGGTATTTCTTACCACTGCAGGTACAGCAATTGACCATGTAATTATGCTATCAATATGTCCCTACGACAGGCAAGTACCAAGAGAGGTACCAACTAATAATAGAGAAGTAAAGCAAGAGTAGAGTAGATTGAAGGATGGAGTATAGAAAGATGAGGAGATCAGAAAAGGTCAAAAAGCAAGAAAAAGGTAAATATTTTAGTAAAGCTTATTTATTCTATGACTTAATTAGATGTGATAATTATTCATCACGGTTCTAATAGGGCCACAATGTGTATTTAAATAAATTATTTAATTCTTTAATTTAATATTAGCGTTTTCCTTGAAAACCTAAACAATTTGCTAATCTGTTATTCCCAAGAAAGTTATTTAAAATCCGCAATACGAATATGCACTTACGTGCAGCATGCAAGTTTCTTTTCCAAAACGCGGGAAAATGGAAATAGAAAAAGAAGAAATTATATTTGACATAACCAACTGTCAACCCTTTGCCTGAAAGGCTTTTAACCAGATATTTTGGCTACTGGAATAGCTATAGAGTCTAACTAAGCTTAATAATATGAAAAAAAAAAAAAAACGAAATGACGAAAGATATCATCTTAGCATTGTTTACAATTTATTGAATGCTAAATAATTATATTTGAAATCTAATATTATATTAAAATATTATTTGTTTTCTATTTCAGAAGGTGCTGCAGATGAAGAACCTAGAACCCTAGTACATAATAAAATAATATAAAGTATATTGTATCATTTTGAATCTTAAAATAAATAATAAAATAGTGACTTTTTATTTGATAAACTAAAATGAATTTACCCACGTAACAACGTTATATACCTCGTGTGGTTTACGTTTTTAATTAATCCTAGTCTCCATTTAAATGTATTAAACATGACGTAGTGTCCGAGAATTACAACCACAGTGCAGCTCCATAAATATTGGAGTGGGGGTAACCCGGCCAACTGTTATTTCAACTTCAATATGCTTGCTACACAGATAACTTGCTAGCTTGGCAGTTTTACTAGTTTGTCGAAATTCTTGCTATTTGCCGATTCGGTTTGTTTGAGTTAAACATATTTTATTTTTTTTAAATATGTTTTATTTGCTATTTAAAAAACTAACAATCCATCTTTCCCGTTATTCGATAGTTCCACATTACTCATACGCAAAAAAAGGGCGGGACTTATGAATCTAGTAATTTCCCATACAACTTATTTTTATTTCTATCTTATCTTTGCATTACAACTGTTGGGTTGGCTACCACAATTACCCCTCTCATCGTTACTTTAAACAACTGTCATTTAGTATATATAGTAGAGAAGCCAGTGACTTTTTTGGTGCCTATTTGTACAAGGCATTATTTAAACAGGCTTTAAAAAGAGGTCGTCATCGGAGACTTCATCACTGTAGGGACTAGCAAAGTATGTCCATATTCTACAATGTAAGAATAAACGAAATATTTGTAATATTGCCTTGCGCAAATAACACACCTTAAAGAGACACTGGCTCTTCTAATAATAAAAGTTAAAAATTACATTTACGGATGAGGTTAGAACTTAGAGTAGAAAAGATAACAACAACAAATTTTTAATTTTAACAGAAAGTAGGATTTGCGCATTAATAAAAGGAAATGTCTATTAGCATTTGTTTTATTTTTGGAAATTCTAATTAAAAGTTTTAATACGACAGAAACTAATGTAATAAAAACCAATATTTTAATATATGATTTTTATATACGATAAGTAAAGTAAAATAATATTTTTAAATTCAATATAATATTTTTTCTCAGTGTATAGCGTTTAAAATCCTCAACTAATTTTTTTGTCGGTGTATTATATCGGCGTTCCGTCTCATAAGACAAATTCAAGGTCACAAAAGGGCCAATAATTATTGTCGCTTCTCTCTGGTTGTTAATCTGGGGTAGTGTTTTAAGAATTGCATAATATTTCCATTAATACTTGATTCATTTTTGAATAATGTTGGAATAGTATTAACTAATAGTTATTTTAGTAACTGACACTAGTTATAAAAATAGTTACGTTTAATATTGTACTTTTTAACCAAAAGTCAACTAATATGAAATTAAGTAAGTAACCTCAATAATCTAGTGATAAAACTTCTTATCAGAACAATCTAGATTCTTCACTGGACACTAAAAATCAGTGGGCACATTCAATAAGAAAATAAAAAATATACCTATTCTCAAATTACTTTATTTATTATTTTTAACAAATTTACTGCAAAATTCCATAGTTATTAATCGTGGCAACGACATTTGGCCCCATCACAAGAACCTCCCTTATGGTTTTGAGATACACACTTAGCTTCGCAAACAGCATTGTTTAATATATTACAGGAAATGAAGCCTCCTATAAGTAAATGTATTAAATTAAACATAAATGAAACTTTTTATACAATAAATAATGCATATAGTCTTATTATATTTAATTTTTTAACTATGAAGAGCGAATTGAAAAGTCGATTTTTATATACGATAAGTAAAGTAAAATAATATTTTTAAATTCAATATAATATTTTTTCTCAGTGTATAGCGTTTAAAATCCTCAACTAATTTTTTTGTCGGTGTATTATATCGGCGTTCCGTCTCATAAGACAAATTCAAGGTCACAAAAGGGCCAATAATTATTGTCGCTTCTCTCTGGTTGTTAATCTGGGGTAGTGTTTTAAGAATTGCATAATATTTCCATTAATACTTGATTCATTTTTGAATAATGTTGGAATAGTATTAACTAATAGTTATTTTAGTAACTGACACTAGTTATAAAAATAGTTACGTTTAATATTGTACTTTTTAACCAAAAGTCAACTAATATGAAATTAAGTAAGTAACCTCAATAATCTAGTGATAAAACTTCTTATCAGAACAATCTAGATTCTTCACTGGACACTAAAAATCAGTGGGCACATTCAATAAGAAAATAAAAAATATACCTATTCTCAAATTACTTTATTTATTATTTTTAACAAATTTACTGCAAAATTCCATAGTTATTAATCGTGGCAACGACATTTGGCCCCATCACAAGAACCTCCCTTATGGTTTTGAGATACACACTTAGCTTCGCAAACAGCATTGTTTAATATATTACAGGAAATGAAGCCTCCTATAAGTAAATGTATTAAATTAAACATAAATGAAACTTTTTATACAATAAATAATGCATATAGTCTTATTATATTTAATTTTTTAACTATGAAGAGCGAATTGAAAAGTCGCATTTAACAAGGGAAAAGTTAATAAATCTAATTTTACCCGTAAATTTAATTTTGACTTTTCTGTAATTGAAAGAAAACATTTTAAAACTTTGTTACGAATACATTAAAGTGAAAGTTTTATATATTCAATGAATAAAGATGATATTACTTAACACGTTAACTGCCGCACTAGAGTAAAAAAAACGTATCTAAAGGACCACTAATATATTTTTTTATCCTATATTAAACTGCAAGAACATTCTGTAACAAAAAACAGAAAATAGTTATAGGGGTTCAAGTTATCCCCGTGAACCATATATAATTCACGTGGCCTCAGAAGCAAAATTGAGGAGCGATCAGCCAAAACCAGATTAATCCATTTTATAAAGTTTTGAGATAATGGCAAAAAACCGTCCATTAGGGCGTCCATAACTTTAACCAAGAAAATAAATGGTGTATCTGAAATATGATGATATAGACCTCGTAAATACTGTTTTTGTTTTTTTTTTGACGATTAACATTGTAATTATTGCAAATAACAAAATGGATTTATCTGTTTTTGCTTGAGTTAACTAATTTTATAATTTAAAAAGTGTTTATTTTAATATAAATCTTTTACGTTAATTTATTTATTTTATTTATTTTTTTTATTTTTTTTTATTTTTTTTTATTTTTTTTTATTTTTTCTTATTTTTTTTTTATTATTATCTAAGTATAATAATATGTTTTTAAAACTTTGTTGTACTTTTGAAATAAAGCAAAGATGTATTTTCAAACGTTTATTATATTTTAAATTCACACAAAAATCAAAAAAGTTAAAAAAATAATGAACGATTTAAATGTGCATTCCTAGGTCATCCTCGAGGCAATCGCAAAGTTCGGCACCAGCTTCAAGTGGAGCTTCACCCAATATATTTTTGTACCACGCTAGATTCTCATCATTTTCCCAGGTTGTACCAAACTGTTGAGCCATCAGATGAGCTAGGGATTTTTTTATTTTTCTCGGGAAGAGATCGCGTTGATGGAATTTCTTCAAATACTGTTGGAACTTCTTTTCGTGCTTTAAGAATCTGTTGGGGCACTTCATTTAAAATTGTCATTCTAAAATTCTAATGATATTGTACTTTCACGATATCTTGTCCTATTTTATCACGGGATTTCTTGATAGGGATTCGCTTGTAGTCGGAAATACCTACAATTTTCTTAAGACAATCTTGCAGATTTTTAATTTCGTAAAGATTCCAGTCAATGCCAAGTTCTTTCACTGTTCCAAACTCAAAATATTTTTCAAAGTATTCGTCCTTGCTTAATATTGTTGGGTTTTTTCTTAAACATTTTTCCACACGGCCAAAAACTATATCTGCTAGAAGGAAGCTATGTCCTCGAACTGGTAAAGTCAACTGGATTTCTTTTAGTGTGCCGGGGTGCCTATTTTAGAGCCAAAAATAAAGAGCATGTACAATATGCGAGTTTTTGTTCTGGCCCCCACAAAAATAGTCTTAATACTTCAATGTCTTCGGGTTCCAATGAATCCAAATAATTTAATAGAGCTGAACCTATCTTAACTAACCCACGATCATCTTGTATCTCAGTCCAGGTGTAAAAGGTAGGGTGCCTTGAGTTCATGTCGACGCAACAAAATATGTAGAAACTCACTTGGTGAGAGTAAAAGGCATCTGTAATGGGGGTGTGAGGCAACGGCTGCACCTGCTGCATATCAAAGCAAAAACTTATTGAATTTGGAGGATCTTCTTTTGCAAGTTTGTAGGAAGCGTCTGCCCTCTTTCTTTGTATTCGACGTTCGATCATCAGGTCAGATTTTTTTTTGGGATCTTTTTCTTTTCTTATATTGTCCTTAAGACGTATAATTAATAAGTAATTATCCACAAAAAATTCTATAAAACATGGACAAACTTGATTTATATTGTGCAGGTTGCTGTGAGTTAAAAATCTTATGCAATTTGACAATACTTAAATTAGCTTGCAAGTATATTCTCACAGACTTCTTTCTGTTGAAATGGCTTTCGGTACCCCTTAAAATTCCAATAAACTCTCTTATTTTATTTTGTTTATCTTCTGTTTTTCTGGAAACATGATCGCCCCCACGAGTTTCTTTTAGCACTCTTACATCGTGAATAACTTTTGCAACGGTATTGACTCGATTTTTTGATATTCCCAAACTTTTAGTAAAAAAAGCTTGTAATACTCTTATGGATTTCTTTTGAGTTATTGATTGAAGATAGTAAGTAGTATTAAGGAGGCGTTTTGTTGGACTTACTTTGTTGGAGCGTTTCTTTACTTTTTCACAAACACCCAGCATGTGACATAACTTAATATCCTGCGTAAGTTTATCAGGAGCAGCATAAAGCTTTCGTCCAATAAGTCTAATATCAGCCAAGGCAACAGTACTGCACTTATAACTAGCAGTGTTATGATTGCATGGTCTCGTAAACCTTAATAGTCCAGGATCCTTACCAACATATTTTTGTTGCTTATTTAACCTTCGTTTCTCGGGAGTTTTGGGCTTTTTAACGCGGCTGCCAGTATTTCCTAAAAAAGGCGTACTTGTAAAAATAAAATAAGCAATATAATAGAAATTTAATTACCTTCTTGAACAGATATATCAATATCTCTGTCGTGCTTGTTCATCCTCTATCACTAATAATCAAAAATATTGCCGATATTAAAGAAGAAACTTATCAAAAAACTACTCATACAGTGTATATTCGCGGAAGTGCACTGGTTTCCGTATCGCACAACGTTCACAACGAATATAATAACAGAACTAAACTAAATAATATTATTTTCCTATAACCGCCCGATATTCGTACGCGACTTTGGCGTAGGAAAGAGCCGAAAAAACGCTTTCGCAGACGGATTTATCCCTTTTTGATCGAAACAGACCAATGCCATTTAATTTTCGAGATTTATCTGGTTTTGCTTGAATTGCTCGACTTTGAGGTCGATTTTGAATGGGATTTAATGAGTTTTGGTTGAAACTGATTGCGCCATCGGATTCATCTCACCAAAAGAAATAGGAATCGATCATAAAATCATTTTTGCCCAGAAGTGGATTTATATGGTTCTGGCTAATCGCTCCTCAATTAGCTTCGGGGCCACATGAATTATATTTAATTAATTCAAAATTTTGGCAACATTGACTTCCCACTATAAAGGTACGCGATGTACTCGTGTTGTGCATGATGCACGAGGAGAGTATGTTTGATGTGAAAAACGAAAATAGTAAAGCTGCCAAAAAATCAAATAATCCTAGACTATAACAGCAAGAGATTTCTTGACATCTCAGAGCAAATGAGAAGAGGAGTAAAATGGTATAGAAAATTAAAATTCGAGTTGATTGCAGGTACAGCACTTGTCAATGCTTATATCATTTATAAAAAATAACAGAAGAACATATAAGTATAAGTAATATATAAGTATTACAAAATTTAAAGAAGAGGAGCAATGGGTCCTTTTGGTAAAGAAACAAGAGAGGATGATACAGTTATAACCAGAGATTGCTGTTTGAAAAATATACGATCACAGAGAAGAATATGTGTTGTGTGTTATGTGAAGCTAAAAGCTGAATTCGACAAAAAACAGGCTTCTCTAAAAGTCAAACAAATTCCATACAAGTGCGAAAAATAAGACGCGTTTAATTGCATTGAATGTTACTTTCTTAGCCATAAATCTACTAGATTGTTAGCTTTTGCTTCTGTATATTTATGTACAGGCTGCCCAGCGACGAGGACACATTATTGGTATCTGACAAAACAGTGAATGATTTTATGTTAAGAATTGTTAAAAATAGTCAACAGGTCATGATCTTTTTATCTAAAATATTCTGACATTTCTGTTATTTCCGGTTTATTTTAAATGAGATACCACTTCTATTATTCCTGATACCGATGGAACATGAAATGTTGCTTATTTGGAATATATACGTTTACACAATGCTCATGACGTCAGAGACCGAGTTTCAGTCGGGTATAATTTAAAATAATTTGAAAATTAACCCTATTAAATTGTACCTTTATCTTACATTTATGGCATCACTGGCCAAGTTGGCATCGGATATATTTTTAAATGTAGAAACTGAAAATAAACCCTATTAAATTGTACCTTTACTTAACATTTGTGACGTCACTGGCGGAGTTGGCATGGTACATACTATAAAATACAGGTTTCAAGACATTTTAAAACATAAACCCAATTTCAACGAACTTAGAAACTCTTCTGTCACTCGATATTTTAATCGTTACTTCCTCTTCCCTTTTTGGCTGGCACAACAATTATTTACATTTCTTCGTTCCTTACCGCGTGCGAAACAGTACGGTTTAAAGAAATTTTAAAAAACCTACTTTAAAAATATAGATGTTTAATAATTTTCTCTTGGATCCCATCTTCATATCTTGACTAAATGTATATGGAACTATTCATTTTCTAACAAAAAGAGAATCATAGAAATCGGGCAACGTGGTAAAGAATTATCGCTCAACATACATTAAAAAATATTTCAACGAATTGAGTATACCTTCCCATTTTTAAGTATGTTGAAAAAAAAATTGTTAATAAAGTGCAAAGTAGGGCATGAACATATATTATAAAGTATATAAAATGTTACATAAGGCCAGTTAAGAAAGTTTTATGAATAAACTGTGGAAATATCGAGAATCTCGATTTTGAATCGGAGGAAGAGTATTCTATGCAATTTAGAATAAGAGCTGATCAAAATAAAACACATAAACGCCACGCTTATGTTATTGACGACTTCCTTCAAACGTTTTCTAGTTTTCTATCTGATATGGTGGATAAATAAGATACATTGCGCGAATTCGTCTAAAACTTTGTATTTAAGGTAATTTAAGGTACTTTAAGGTTAATAAATATGCATTATATGCTGGGATTTAAACTTTTATTACATATTTACATGATTATTAAAAATCGTAGTCATTTTGTCGCTAACATCTATTTCGCTATCATGCGGGTCGCTATCGGATTGTCCAGCCAACTCTTATTCGTAACCTCGAATCTGTCGCGTTTTCGTCTAAGTTAATCGCACACAATTTTGACTGTACAGCCGCGACTTGCCTGTCAGTCCCTTCTGCCAGTATATCCCTGACAAATTCAAATATTTTCTTTTGGATGTAGGCCTTCGAAGTGGAAGTATATGCTGAAAAAGAAATCAGTCCAAAGTTCATCACAGAATTATTAAAATTAATTGCTCAACAATGAATTTAAATAATTAAGTAATTAATTAAATTACCTAATTTTTTATAATTAGTTTTGTACATCGAAATAAATACTAATTGTAAATAAATACTATTCGAATCATGATCACTTTAATTTAAATACAAAATAAATATTTTTGATTGTAATAAACAAAATCGATAATTAAAATTTTTTAGAAAAAATTAAAAAAAATTTTTCAACCCATGATTATAATTAATAATTTCTTATTTATTTTTATTAGCTGGTATAAACTGCGACTTTTCCAAGTGCGCGGGAAAGTACAACAATACAGCCATCCCTGCCACGCTTGCCGGACTCTACCACGCGGCAGAAAAACTATCGTTTACTGAAATGGCACAAACATGCGCATGTGATTTCTTTTGAACTCGTCAACTACATCATTAAGGATGTAGGAGAGCCATTAAACGAAGTGGAGAAACGTAGAGAAAAATTTTTAGCCAATGATTTGTGAGAATTTGGGTGTTACGGGATACAGGTTAAAATATACTTTCATTCAAAGTCAAAATAATTTTTTAAAATGGTTATAAATGTGATAACTTACCTTTTGGGGTGCTATCCATCGTACGTAAATAGAAGAACTCTATCGGATCACTTTCAATAATATATAACAATGTGCTAAAAATCAGTTAAAATACCGCTGTTATCGACGTCGCGTGTTTACTCGACTATCACGACACGTATCATCGAGATTAGAAAATGGAATGACACCAAAGGGTTGGACTAGTATTCACTGGTGTCTTCTACGCGGAATTTCATGAAACTAAAGTTTGAAATCGCAACTTCTTTTTTACCTTCATGGCCAGGTTTTGCTGCGAGTTAGCCTACTGTGCATTGGTGTGCTGACTGTGTTTGCATGAAACTTTTTTTTTTATTAATACAGGGTGTAGCAATTATAGCGTGAAAAGTTATAACACCCTGTAGAGTGCAATAGTTACATTATCAAGTTAGAATTGATATAACAAATTAGCCTTATTTTTTCTTAACAATTTCTGTTTTAATTTACTTCATTATCTTTCCTATTATACCAGAAACACTATTTTATAGTATAACATAATATTATTAAAACTTAATATTAAAATTTAACAACGAAAACATGAAACAAAATGTAAAGAAATAAGTTAAACGAAAGTGTCAATAGCGAGTAGTTTCACCTCTGGCACGAATATCTTCTTAATAATGACGGCCCATACTTAAAATAAGACTCCTTATGTCATTTTGGTCCAATTCTTTCCATATTTGAATCAGTCTCTGTCGTACATCATCCAGAGAATTCAGATTACGTTCCTCTTGTAATCTCCTCCCATGAGTATACCAGAGATTTTCTATCAGATTTAAATCCGGGCTCCGAGCTGGCCATGCCATGGTAGCGATACCGACTTCCTCTAGATAATTTCCCACAACTCGAGAAACATGAGGCCTGGCATTATCTTGCATCAACAATAATTCTTGCCCTATATATGGTGCAAATGGCATTACATGTTCGTCTAAAATCTCCAGTATGTACCAGTGAAAGCAATGACTCCCCAGGGCGTCGATATACGTGCATACGCCTGTCATTGTTATGTAACAACCAGTTAGCCTAAAGACCATTTGCAACGACTGATAGGTCTTTAGCTACTGTTATCATTATACTATTAAGGGATAAAGGCAGCACCTGTCACCAGCCCTAGGGTTCTGGAGTCCTGAAGGAACATCCATTCGCCAGTGGCAAAAGAAAATAATGAAGAAAAAATAATAAAATAAAAAAAACATCCCTTAATAGCATATGTCGAGCGGTTCTTGGCAACTAGTTTTAGACTCTTTTAGTCCTAAGGGAATAGAAACGCCGAGGCTTCTCAAATGCTCGGAGTATTTGCTGGTTTGGAAAGGTAGGAGAGATTAATAATAATTGTTAAAACATTAACAAATGTATATTAACAATAAATATGAAACTTGACAAATAGTCTTAAGAAAAAAATGAATAAAATTCCATTTAGGGCATAACTAATAGCAATAAAGATATGCATAAGATAAATATAATTCGGGACGAAAATGTAAAATTAGCATTTAAATGTAAATCAATCAATCAATCAATTAATATTAAACAAAAAAAAAAACACTTTAAAATTAGGTTAAAATATTTACCCATAATTCACATCGTACACAAAATTATACTCTACACTTTATTTTACAATACAAAACGGGAATTTTCGCCCAAGGGGCGAAAGTTCTGGACCTTAGTCCGAACCCGACTGAGAGTTTACCCCAGTGATCCTTTCTTTCTGTCTCCTCTTTACATAAACTAAATTTGGTTGTATTTAAAAATGTTACGTTCAATGTAGAATAATAACCTGAAGGTTTGTTTCATTTTCATACGTGTCTTTTTAGGTATTTAATTTAAACATTAAATACTTGTTTAGAATTTTTGGTAAATTCTTTATATTTTTTCAATCAGGTTTTCGTAAAGGCTATAGCTGCACAACTGCTTTACTCCATGTGGTGGATGATATTATTAAATCTTTGGATAAGGGTCATTGCACAGTTTTGGTCCTACTAGATTTTAGTAGGGCATTTGACACTCTTAACTATAAATTAATGTCATCTATTCTAAGTAATTTAGGTCTTTCCCAGAATGCAGTGTCTCTTTTAAATTCATACCTTACAAATCGACAACAGCTAGTTACGATCAATGGTCAGTCTTCTCCTTACTTAGATCTCCAATGTAGTGTACCCCAGGGTACTCTTTGCTCTGTATACATCCAATATTTTAAAATGCCTTCAAAGCTGTAATGCTCACTTGTATGCGGATGACACTCAACTTTACTACAGTTTTGACCCCAATAAAGTAGATGATGCATGTGCTTGTATAAATAGAGACCTTGAATTATTTGTAAAATCAGCTTCTGACCACTGTTTGAAAATAAATTGTAGCAAATCTAATGTTATTGTCTTTGGTACTAGATATAAACGCGATTCTGTATTAGAGAATGTAAACATATTAGTTAATAACGAGCGTCTTGAATTAGTAAATCATGTTAAAAGTCTTGGTGTAGTTTTAGATGCTGATTTGCGATTTGAAAAACATATAAATAACTTAATTGGGCGTGCATACTCAACAATCAAATTGATATATGGAAATAGGCAGTTCTTATCTTCTGATATCAAGAAGCTTTTATGTGAAAGTCTTATTCTCTCGATCTTTAATTATGCAGATGTCCTGTATGGGCCATGCTTAACCAGCCAATATAAACAAAAAATTCAAAAGGTACAAAACTCTTGTCTTCGCTTAATTTTCGGTATTCGAAGAAGACTGCCTATTTCTCACAAATTAAAGGAAATAGGATGGCTTAACATGTACAATAGAAGAACACTTCATGCTGCAAGTACATTTCACAAAATTATTGTTAATAAAACTCCATTATATTTGTACAGGAAAATCACTTATCGAACTGACGTGCACAATTTAAATATAAGACATAAAGGTATACTGTCTCCACCACCATTTAGGTTAGAGCTGTTTAGACGATGTTTCTCTTATAATGTATGTGCAATTTATAATAATGTTCCAAATTCACTAAAATCTGTCAGTCATGAAAAATTCAAGAAATCATATAGAAATGTGTTATATGCTGCATAGTTGTAAATGCTCAGATAGTGTTTAATAGGTATATCTCATGTCTTTCTAATTTCTTTTTTTTTTATTTATTTTTCTTTTCTGTGTTATGAACTGTTCAAGCGATATATTTATAAATATAATATAATTTTATTTTTTTCATTGTTTTGGGTTAAGTGGAAGAGCAATTCAGTGGTGAGTTTCATCACATGAATTGAACTTCGCCCTTTATTTCTCATTTTGCATAAAATGTAGCGAATTGATATATATGTAATTTTGTAAATATTCTGTATATTCAAAATGAAAATAATAAAGACATTTATTATTATTATTATTATTATTAACCCTAGGGCTGGTGACAGGTGCTGCCCTTTTCCCTTAATAGTATAATGACAACAGTAGCTAAAAACCTATCAGTAGTTGCTAATGGTCTTTAGGCTAACTGGTTGTTACAGTTATACAAAATCGAGACTCATCAGTAAATAATACCCGTTGCCATTCAACCTCTAAGCAGTTACGATGCTCCCAGGTAAAATTTAGCCTCGCTCTATGATGAACTTTAGTTAGAGCTGGAGCTCGAGAAGCTATTCTAGGTCTTAGTCACTGACAAACAGTTTCTGTATAAACTTCTAAACCATTAGCATCCCGAAGCTGGGTTTAAAGGGTCCGAGCTGTTACAAAACGTCTTAATTCTGACAGTCTTAAAAATCGATCGTGAAGTAGAAAAATTACTCGGTTTCTTCATTGTCCTGGCCTACGACCATGATTTCCAGTCTCTCTATATCTTTGTATAACTCGTGAAATGGCTGCGTGAGTTACGTCAAATCGTTTACCAATTCTTCGGTAACTCCAACCCTCTTTAAACAATATTAAAGCTTGAGCACATTCTTCGCGAATTATATTTCATGGCATATTAATTTAAATTTTGTTTGCAAAAAATGACGTATGGACTAATACTGACAATACGCTACTGTATTTGACAATTACTGGTTTTTTATAGCACGCTACTTATTTTAGTGCTTATAACAGTAATGAAAATATGTTGTTATAAAAGTGCAATAGAAAAGATAATGGCGTAAATAAAAAAAGAAATTGTTAAGAAAAGATATGAATAAATTGTAAAATGTAACTATTGCAGTGTACAGGGTGTTACAACTTTTATGAAAAAATCACGCTATAATTGCTACACCCTGTATTAATAAAAAAGAGGGTTTTATGCGAATGACATATATTTGCTTTAAACTTTTTGTTATTTTTTGATGGTGCGTTAATTTATTGGGAAGTGTATTTTCAAGAAAATGTTTAAAAAAAAAATTCGAAAGCTATTTCGTAATTCATTTTTATTCTACTTCTTATTTTCAAAACACAATTTTTAAATATCGACTTTGACATCTGCTACATTAAACAAAATTAAATAGGATAAAATATGACAACGTTGAAAATTAATAGACCGATAATCTCAACAAAAACAATTTATTGAGTTTATTTTTTGTTTAAAATTAGGTTAAACAGGGAAAATAGTGGAATTTTAACAATATAAAATAACATTGCAAATTACACATACATTTCTGCATCTAATTTTTGTTTAAAATTATAAAAAGTAAGTTATTTTAATAATCTAGGGATAAAACTTCGAAATTAGAACATTTCGATTCTTCACCGGACATTAAAATTCAGTGGACAAAAGCAATAAATGAATAGAGCAGAAAATAAAAAATATACTCATTCTCAAATTACTTTATTAATTTCATTTGGTAAATTTTTTGCAAAATTCGATATTTGTTAATTTTGGCAACGACACTGGCCCCCTTTACAAGAACCTCCCTGATGGTGTTGAGCTAAACATGTAATTGAACATCCAACACTATTTAGTGAGTTACAGGAATTAACGCCACCTAAAAGTAAATATTATATTAAATTATTAAAACTTTTGTTGTAATAAATATTTAAAAATAGTCTTGCTATGGTACATTCCCAAGTAACATTTTTAGATTTATCAAAGTATACAAGAAGAATCATAAAACCCTTTTTTTTAATACACTGATAAAACAGTTGAATCTGCGAGATAGCCTTAGGGTGACTATAAATCTGCTTTAAGAGTAAACAGGAGAATCCTATAACGGTCCTTGAGAGTATGTTTAAAACAATATTTTAAAACTAATTAGATCTAAGTCAATCAAAGTCCTTAAAAGTATATTAAGAATGTTATTCAACCAATTTCAAATCTTTTTTAAGTGGGATAGGCATTAAAAATGTACAAGTTTACTAGATTAATTTAATTATAAGTTTTATGTTTTAAAATTGTAGAAATGTTCCTAAAATGTTCTGGAATTAATTTAATTTATAGTATAATCCTAAAACACTTTTTTAAACTAAGTTTTAAAACCTACCTAAGATAACTGCTAAAAAGTATGCCTCTTTAACACCCAAATACACCTTAGGAGGGCGTATTGTATTTGGGCTTCAAGTTATTCCCCAACGACCTTTTATAAATCCCTACCTGAAATTGATCTTTGATCTGGGCACTCTACCCAAAAGATGCAAATTTTCAACAACTCGATTTGGGCACTTTTGTACCTGCTGGTTTAGGAAGAATGTCATGGAAATTAAAAATCATTGTTTAGATGTAATTTGGTCTATTTTATGGTCTTGTTTATAATATCTCGGACATTTTACAAAAGTAAACCTTCCTAATTCTACATAACTCTTAATTTTGTCATCTATAAAATTAATTATAATCAAAGGTTTAACATCTTTGACTCGTACAGGTTCATTACTATTAATACTATTTATTTAAACATAGATATTAATCTGGAACATTTTGTTACGTGAAATTAATTTTAAATTAATTTCAAATTAATTTTTGACAACAACTTCTCCATAACCCCTCTTAGCACAACATGTACCATTATCGATTTTTACAAAGCATCGTTCGCGCATGATCTGCTTATGTCCAGCGCATAGCCCATAGTGGTTCTTTTAGCAACCAGTTCATATAAAACCTAAAACGGTGAGTTAATTTTCCTTTTCTGGTGTTTAAATTCAAAAGTGCCTAGCTAAATATAATAAAATGAGTTTCTAGTAATTATCTTTAATTTATGTGTATCGTGTGAACGTTGGGATAACTGTCAGGTAAATGTTTTTCTTTTATTCTCATTTTACTGAATTTCGTTGCAAAACCGAAGCTCGGCCATGTGCTTTTTTTTATTACCACCATGCTGGCAAAAGCCGCTTTCTATATTTTATTTCATTTTATATAGATTATAACTAACTAATAATATTTTTTTAAGCTTTCTTATATATCATAATATAAATGTGTTATCATTGAATAACTTTGATATATACGCGGGGAGGCAACTAAATAATTAAATTACAAGTCAGTCTGGAAATACAGTTTAAATGGAAATTTATGGCTCCTAACTTATTTTTGCCTTATAAATATTTTATATTCTGTTCATATGATGTAATTTTAATATTTGTTGTGATATTTTATATTCTGTTCAAATGATGTAACTTTAATATTTATCGTGATATTTTATAATCTGTTCATACGATGTAACTTTAATATTTATCCCGTTTATGCATAAATCCGTTAGATTTCCAAACTGGTATGTATATATACTTTTACACACGGTACTGAGGTTCTTTTATTTCTAAACCTGTAGTGGCTCCAAGAAGAGGCTACTCTACCTCCAAGTACTGTTGTCAAGAAGAGGCTACTCTACCTCCAAGTACTGTCTCCAAGACGAGGCTACTCCTTCAAGTATCCAAGTACTCAAGTACTGTCTCCAAGAAGAGGCTACTCCTCCAAGTAATGGTTCCAAGTAGTACCTCTAAGAAGAAGCCCTAAGATCCTTTAGGAAGTTCCAGGCTCTTCTATGAAAACGTATTAAGAAGCTCCAAGTTCCTCCAGGAAGCTCCTAGTTGCCTCTAGCTTTATAAAAAAAGGGAAGTACCGTACCTACGCACTAAAATACCACCATTTATCGAACTATCTATGAGTAAATTTAAACAATCATTAATTCAACTCTATTCACTATTTAATTTTTAGACTTATGTAAACTTAATCTTTCACCTTTTTTTATTAAATGTATTAAATTTTCTCACTTTCTTTTATTTGCCAGAACCCATACAGATAACTTTAGGTACTAGAGACGGACTCAATTAAACGGGACACTTAAAATCAGATAAGTTTTCCAAGTTACTGAAAAACTTGGTGGCTCTCAACTTTTTTTGTCGTTGTCTTATTTTAATATTTTTCATTTTATCTTAAAGTAGATTTTGGCCCGCGAATAGGTTAAGCTACTCTGATTTTATTTGTCCTGATCAATTTTTGAATTCACGCATATCAGAAATTTGAGCTTAATCACTTATTAAATAAATTAACAACATAGAAATTTTGAAAGTAGGTAACAATTTTTAGCCCATCAATAAACAAATGAAGAGAAGGATGCGTTTTATAAAATGAAGAATTAAATCTTGCGTGAAAATACTTGCAAGCATTGGTTGTACGTTGAATGCTGCTTGAAAAACTTGCCCAAATATTTGGTGGAAACAACGCATAATCACCAATATAATTTGCTTCCAGATAATCAGCAAATTGAACTAGGATTATCTGACAGAATACTCATAAGATCAAATACAAAGCACTCTGAAACTTTCGCTGGTTCCAAAAACTGTAAATCAAAGACATAATTCAGCCATTTCTCTATATCGGAATCTGCCTTTTTGTATTCTGATGATAATTCCAGTTGCTGTATTTTGTTATACTAGCTTTGCCCAAGGTGGAATTGACATCCAACCAATTCTACTTCTGGCCAAACATCTGTTAGAGCTACATGGATACTTTTCTCAAAATCAGCCACTACAATCTTAGGTTGGAATGTAAGTCCAATATCATTACATTTTTCCACAATAAGAAGTATCGCTTTCTTGTATGATGCAATTAGCTTATTGGGCAATACACAAAAAACTAAAGGAATATAATGTCCATCAGAAACGACATGCAGTATAAAAAGTTGTGCAAAATAATTTAAAGAATATCGGAATATTCCGTCCACATATACATTCTTTGAATTGCATAGAACCGACAAATTAGTGTCACATGAGAATATATTTATTCTATTTTCTTCATCAACTGCACAAACAAAAGTTTCTCCTTTGATCGTTTGGCAGACCATTGTTTATAACAAGGAAATTGTTTCTGAGTCTTTTTTTGGTAGGACGGGGTATTTTTCTTCTTTCATAATATATGTTATTCCTCAAGCAAGCAATATCGTTTTGGGTCAGCGTATCCAGAGAAAATTTGCTACTGTCAATAGCCGTCCTTATGACTTTGGCAGGTTTCTCAACTAGATCCTCTGCTGCGCGTTTTTTCGCAATTGAATTTACTACAACAAACATACTTAACAGTGGAGACAAAATAAATAGGCAGTATAATTACAAAGTGTAGAAAACTTACCAATTAGACCATTTATCGTTCTTTCAAAGCTGTCATGGTTGTGATGTAGTTCACTTCTTGATACGATTTTTTTATCTCCACTGCCAACAGTTCAAATTTTAGCGCTGTACGTTCGCTTGCTACATCGCCAAAAACACTCCCCGCTTTTTATTTTCTTTTGAAAAGTGCACTTAAAACTGTCATAAATCAAAAGAACTTTTCCGCGGATACTAGTCATAGTTTGGACATCCATCTTCAGAACAAAAGGTGGTCTTTACCGTATCGTGAACAAAACGCAACAGATTTTATCAAAAACCGATAAACGATGTTTCCCTTTAGATTATCTAATTAGTCCCGTTGAGATGGATTTACCTAACTATTTAATATGTGATTCTCGGAAAACAAGTCATTAGGTACCGATAAAAATCTAATAATTAGATGTGTAGTTACATTCTAGAAACTTTAATTACAATATAAACAAATGAAAACACATTGAGATGTTGAAAATAAATGTAGTATTTTAACATTATTTAGTTTTTTTGAGATTGTGCAATTTATGGTTTTTAATGCGTTTCTGATTATCACCAAATATGTTAAGTGAATTTTTTATACGACCTCTACTCTTTTTCCAACTTATCCATGTCGGACATCTCAGGTAGAGAGTTAATAAGAGTGCCCAATTCAAGACTTCCTAATTTGGGCGAAATGGAGGACAGTGCCCAAATCAAACATATTACTTTCAGCACAGGTACAAAAGTGCCCAGATCATGACCGCCGCCTTAGGGCTATCTTCAAACTAAATAGTTATAAAATTACTTATTAATTAACCCTTATAGGACAGCGATAAATCATAGTTTACTTTGGGATAAACTAGTTTTGTTAAACAGATTTAAAGGAATCTATAAAACCAAGTAATAAAATCAATTTATCCTGCAGTCCTATTAACAAAAAAATAACTGTTATACAATAATTATTAATTTTTATGTTTTAACAAATATAAATAAAACTTTTATCTCTTAAAAATATTACTTGGGTTTATAAACTAAGAGGAGCGAAGTTGCATTTACACGGGGAAAAGTTACTAGATATTATTTTACAGGTAAATTTGATTCTGACTTGCGTGTAATTTAAAGAAAACATTTTAAAACTTTGTTACGAATACACGGAAGTCAAAGTTTCATATTTTCAACGACTAAGGATGACATTACTAAATTGTGTTTATCAACATTTATATTGAGTGCAAATTCTTTCAGTTTTTCGCTACTTAGGCTCGTACTTCAATATACCTATATCGCAGCAAAATGTTTTGTTTAATTTACTCTTTTGATTTAACACACAGAAGAAAAGGTGTACTATATTCAATAGCGCACAGTCATATAAGAGCACAATAAAAAACTACACGTTGAAAATTTTCGCACACGGAGAAAACCTTATACGACATAAATCTCACGTGGA